GTAGATGTCTATGGGCCACAGCAACCACTTACCATCAGGTGGACTGTGTGCTCGCTTATCCTTTAAAAAAAACTGTAAATAACAGTTAAAAAAAACCTTCCCGAATGAGAAAATAATTTAAAAGACTATTTTTTAAGCCAAGTAAAATATTTTCAAAAATTTTTATGATTTATTCTAATAATTATTTCATTCAAATATTGACATATTTTTTGAGGTGAATACCTACTTCTTTAGCATCGTTGTGATTTGAAAACGGACGAAACGAAAAAGAGATACCAAAAAGAGACAAATGTATAGGATTTAGACTGCGAGAGAATGAGGTAGATTACAGGGTATTAAGCGATAGTAGCACAGAATAAATAATAATACTATGACTATCACAGTAGCCTATTATCGGTGCGGACGACGAACCCAAAAAGTTGTGAGGTCGGATCCAGTATTTTTTATTTTTAAACTTACTAATGGTGGTTAAAGAGAATTTTAGTAATTTTAATAGCATTGCTAGTATTTTTTTTAAATAGTATTTCGTATTATTTAGATCTCTTCTTTATGCGGTGCTTTAAAGATGGTTAATATAAATTTCAAATGTTAAAATAAAAAGTTAAAAAAATTAACAAATTTATTAAATACGTAAAATTAACCATATTGAATAAAATTATCTTAATATACTAATCCATTTATACCAATCCACGAGTTCCTAAAATCAAGCCAAATAGCGTCTACAGTACGTACCACTTTGATAGTCAATACACAGAATAATATGATGCTTACGTATAGTCAATTAAATTTTATTCTGTAAAAAGACTACCTATAGAATGTAATAAATATTCTTTTGATTTATTACACTAAAATTAAGTCTAAAAATTGTAACGTTTGCTATAAAATTAAACTTTTGTCTTATATTTTATGCCGCACTTCTGATTGCAAATGATCATATTAAATAAATAACATACCGTGAAATATTTTCATATTTTATTTAATTTGAAGTTTTCACTTCTACTGTATGTGAACTGCATACATGTTTTTTTATTATTTTGTTTTTGATGAACTTTTCAACAAAAATTTATTAATTTAAATGAAAATAATTAATTTAAAATTTACCCTGCTGCTATTGAAGCGCCACCCTATTTTAACCTAATTTCGACGGACACTTTTACATGCAAAGAAAGAAACAGAAAGACAGAAAGAAAGAAAGAAACAGATTTTATCTGGCACATGCAGCACACTCAAGCGGATTACATAAAACATAACATTTAAGTAGTAATACAAACAAACAAAAAAAAAATTAATTATACATAGAAATCATGAAACAGGACATTAACTCCTTGTTTATAGATATGGTAAAATTAAACAAAAAAAAAAAGCAAACAATAATATAAAAAAATAATAATAAAGAACTAGAGAATAAGGACTAATGCATAAGGTGTATTACAAAGATAATCCACCCGTTAATGCTGCTCTGCTCCAAAAAGGAAAGCCACTCAGGATATGTTGGAATGTATCAGAAGTCCAGCACTCCAACCCTGATTTTCAGTGGCACCCTTATATACAGACATATTATATTACATGCACAGAGATATAACCTGTCGGAAATATCTGCGAACCTCGCTGGAATGCGCTTCCCCTCGCGCTTCCCCGCACCTCCGCCCGTTATCGTCTATCCAGTACCGTTGCCATCTCTCCATATTGCATGACGTCATCAAGCCAGGTTCGCAGATATTTCCGCCCGTTATCGTCTATCCAGTACCGTTGCCATCTCTCCATATTGCATGACGTCATCAAGCCAGGTTCGCAGATATTTCCGACAGGTTATAGTTCTCCTTATCTCTACCCTCCATACTTAATATTAAGGTGAGATTTCAGATGTTACACATCATACGAGGGTGACACACTTTTACTAGGGTACAACAACAAACGAGCACACAGTTCACCTGATGGTAAGTGGATGCTGTGCCCCATGGATTAGTCATTTAAAATAATATTTCATTCATGGCAAGATAAGCCAAAGTGCAAGGCAGATGGATATTATTCCATCTCGCTCGCACTATAGAAGGGGGGTCAAGACGGAAAATCTTACACTTTTTCTCGCCTAGCCCCCATCCACCAAATTCGTACCATGCGATAAGGAACTTCGTTCCAAAATCTATGGATCCCGTTTAAATAAAAAAATGAAATTACTATTACAATACACTTTTTTTGTCTAAGACTTTCATAGTGAGTGCAAATAATCTTACGCTCACCAAATGTCGCTATTTTGGAGTAAGGTAATTTGTTATGCAGATCTATGCAGATGGTGTCATCATTATTGAAAAGTTGCCTTTTTAATAAAAGTTTTTCGCTTTCCATTACCCTCTGTGCTGTATTCTTTAATTTATTACAGATATTGCTTCTATTTTTAGAAATATCCGTAATTTAGTTTATACCTTTTCTAATCTGGTTAATAGATATTTATTTATTTTATTTATTTAAAAACTAAAATGTAACACCTTAAGGTAAAGGGTACATAGGGCGGACATAATGCCATATGGAATTCTCTGCCAGTCAACCCTGGGTGCCAAAGACTATTGTAGGCAGGTGCGAAATATAATATATTTAATATGTGTTAAATATATTTAAATATATATAACACATATTTACATAATATTAATACAATAACACATACATACATATATATATTGTGTAAACATGCTTATAAACTTTATAAATAAATATCGAATTAATATATAAATATTGAAGAAAAAAATGTCAGTTAGTAAGTGCCCTGAGGTAATATTGAATCACAATATAGAATAAAAGTTCCGTTATAAATTACAGGAGAGAGATTTCCATAATCAATCTTTGCCAATAATTGTGAACTTCCGAAGATTATGACTTTGCATTTGGCTAGATTAACTGAAACGCCATATTTACACGACAATTCTCTTATGGCTTCCAGGTTATTATTTAGTTGATGTATTACATAGTTAAGATTATTTAAGTCTGACTGCTACATAAAACTGAAGATCATCCGCATGCAGATGGTACAAACAATCTAAAACTGAGGAGATAGAGTTTATAAATAAATAAAACATAATAGGAGAAAGTATTCCGCCTTGCGGCACATCAGATTCAATTTCAGCCCATGCAGAAAAACGCTGACCTGAACGAACCGATTGCTGGCGGCCGCGAATATAAGAGAAGAATCACTCCAAGACTGGGGATGAAAATTTAAGGTGTTTTGAGGATAGATAGGAGGATACCATGATCGGAGACTGTGTTGAAAGCATTTGAAATGTCAATAAGCGCTACCACTATTAATTTCTGCTCATTCAAGCCTTTTCTTATGTCGTCTGTGACTTTGATAAGCGAAGTGATAGTGCTGTGACCAGGGCGAAACCCCGATTGAAATTCATTCAGTAGATTATATTTTGCAATGAACATAGATATTTGCTTAAAAACACAGGCTTACAGAACTTTAGAGAGGTATGGGAGAATTAAGAAAGAACGAAAATGGTTAGGGAGTACAGGATAAGGTATTTTAGGAAGGGGTCGTAGAAAAGCTTTTTTCCATGCAGAAGGGTACTGACCTGAGTCCAGAGAATAATTTATAATGTGTGTTATAACTGGAAGTAGGTACGCAAGTATCATAGATATCATTTGCTTATTAATTGCATCAAGCACAGCCACACCCTTGCGTAGCCACAGCCTTGGATTTAATGGCTAATAGAGCTTTTTTTATTTTATCCTGAGTAACAGGAATTCATAGAGACTGCATTGATTCTATAGAAGCAATCGTTTGAGAACGGACTTGAGGGTCCAATGAAGTAATAGAAACGAAGTGACGATTAATGTCATCCAAATTAAGAAAGGAGCCATTCCAGGGAATTTGATTTATTAATTCCGAGAGATCCAAGGAATTTCCACACATCAGTTGGCGAAGAATTAGTTATTATGTCATGAATGTAGTGGCTTTTAGCATTTCGTACCACCTGATTGCACCTGTTTCTTAGCAATTTAAAGTTACACTAACTTTGTTCAGAGAGATCCTTTTTAAACTTCTGGAAAGCTCGATCTCGCCGCGCCATTGCCATCTGGACCCCTTTAGTCATCCAGGGAGCAGGAGGATGCTTAACTTTTACACAATGTACTGGACCATGAATATTATACAGATTTAGGATGGTATTATTAAGAAAGGATATTTTATCATCGATGTTAGAAGCTACCACCAAAGGGCCAAAATCAATTGCAGATACGTCTTTCCTGCGACTCTCAATGCTTATTCTAGAAAAATTGCGTAACTGCAGAAAAATAGGCTTCTGTTTTAACTTTAGGAGGTTTAACTTTATATGAAAAGTAAATCAAGTCATATCGTGAGAAACAAGGAGCAGAGACTTATCCAAACTGAATCACACGATCAGAAGAGGAAGTCATGATGAGATCAATCAACGAATCATCAGTGTCAGTATTTCTATGAGTTGCCGCCAGTGGGGGAATGCAGAGTTCAACTGATTCAATGATTGCTCGAAGTTTTTGGGAATTATAACTAATATTTGACAAAGATACAATAATCTCTACACTTTTTCAACAAATTAACTTCATCCGCCATGAAATCTGTCAAATATATCAACTCATTCCTAAGTGACGCTGCCGATGGCAGAAAAAGTCGTGGATGCCCTTGTTCATGATTCGTAACAACAACAACACCAACTTTATTGTTGTCTATACTGTGATAACCAATAATTGGCCTAAAGGTCTAGATACCAGGCCATAAACTCCAAAAAAAAAGATAACCAATAACCATTCCCATTTTTGACAGCTTATTTTTATCCCAGAACCCATTGATACATTGATATATTATAAGTCATTGCCAGAACCAGATACAGATACAGATATTATTTTAGTCTTTGAATTTATCCATGTTATTGTCGTCAATGTCTATATTCTGTGACGCTGAACTAGTTAAGATTGCGAAATAATTAATTAAAAATAAAATAATTGTAAATATCATACCCAGGATCAGCATGTGGAAAAGCTTAAGATTAACCCAATCACAATTATCAAAAATACATTTCAATGGCCACAAATTGCAACCAGTCGGCGTTCCGGCACTTGATTCAGTATTAAATCAATGGTACGAATTTTGCAAAAAGCCACCAAAAGGATTTGAAAAATATTTTCAGCCTGGTGCCAGCCAACAGCAAACGAAAAAGAGTGAAAAAGATGAAGCACCCGCACCGTCAAAAAGTTCCCCACCTCCGTCCAAACCTCCTTCATCACAGGATAAATGGAATATCAATATGTTCTCTGGAAGTTCAGGTAGTGGCCGGGGAGGTGGACGCGGAGGATTTGACAACCAAGACAGAGATAAGTGGATGATGTTTGGAGCTATGGGAGTTGTGACCTTACTGGCATCAATTGCTTACTTTGAGCTAAGATATCGAGAAATAAGCTGGAGGGACTTTGTTAACATGTATTTAAATAAAGGGAATGTTGAAAAATTGGAAGTCATAAATAAAAAATGGGTTAGAGTAAAACTACATCCTGGAGCAGCATTTGAAGGAAAAGTCATTTGGTTTGCCATTGGCAGTGTAGATTCGTTTGAAAGGAATTTAGAAAATGCTCAAATTGAAATGAATGTAGATCCACCTAACTTTGTTCCTGTAATTTATAAAACGGAGGTTGAAGCAGCCAGTTTAACAGGAATACTACCAACACTCCTGATTATTGGTTTTTTAATTTATATGATGAGAAGGTCCGCGAACATGATGGGTGGGGCAGGTCGTAAAGGAGGTGGTTTATTTGGTGGTGTTATGGAGTCTACTGCAAAGTTAATAAACCCAACTGATATTGGGGTAAAGTTCAAAGATGTAGCTGGTTGTGAGGAAGCAAAAATTGAAATAATGGAATTTGTTAACTTTTTAAAAAATCCTCAACAATATATCGACTTAGGAGCCAAAATCCCTAAAGGAGCATTGCTCACTGGTCCCCCTGGTACTGGTAAAACATTACTAGCAAAAGCAACAGCTGGTGAAGCTAATGTCCCTTTCATTACAGTCTCTGGTTCTGAATTTCTAGAGATGTTTGTTGGCGTAGGTCCTTCAAGAGTCCGTGACATGTTTGCAATGGCCCGTAAACATGCCCCTTGTATCCTGTTTATTGATGAAATTGATGCAGTAGGTCGAAAGAGAGGTGGCCGTAGTTTTGGAGGCCACTCTGAACAAGAAAATACTCTTAACCAGTTGCTAGTCGAGATGGATGGTTTCAATACAACTACAAATGTTGTTGTCTTAGCTGCAACTAACCGAGTAGATATTCTAGATAAAGCTCTACTCAGGCCTGGTAGATTTGATAGACAAATCTTTGTTCCGGCACCAGATATCAAGGGCAGAGCCTCCATCTTCAAAGTACATTTAGGCCCTCTAAAGACAACATTGAACAAAGAAAACTTAGCTCGTAAAATGGCAGCATTGACACCAGGTACTTATCTTTTCTGTTTTTCTATTTTATTAATTTAGCATATATAAGATTTTATATTGGAGAGGAAAAGAAACCAGGAGATGGGCAGCACTTTTCCTGATAACAGGTATAAATGGAAAACTGCAGGTACCGACCTGCTTGGCAAGTATGGCAAATATCTGACTTAAAGGTAGTCTACGGGTGAGGCCTATGTTCAGAGGTGGACTTTTAATATGCTAGAATGGTAGCATTAACTATAATTATGCATTTATTATTGATTATGTAACTTTTGAAGGACTTCATTGATTGAGGTCATATTCACACAATTATATGATGAATTTGGAGTGAGGAGTAGAACAAAATATACCTAGCCAGTTAGTATAAGATAGAAATTGTACATTTTGGTCTTTAGGCTTGGCTATTGTTAATTATCTTAATTATGCATAGAAATTCTATATATAGGATTGCATGTTCAATTGGAAGACGTTTTCAAGCTTCTGGACTGGAAAGGATACAGTATCAACATCAATGGTACATCACTCACCTTCGATTTGCCGACGATATAGACCTTATGGCAGAATCGCTGGAGGACCTAAGCACTATGCTCAATGACCTCAATAGTGTTTCCCAACGGATAGGTCTTAAGATGAACATGGACAAAACAAAGATCATGTTTAATGTTCATGTCACACCTATGCCGGTAGTTGTTGGGAGCACTAAGCTCGAAGTTGTTGACGAGTATGTTTACCTGGGACAAATAGTCCGACTAGGTAAGTCCAACTTCGACCGAGAGGTCAATCGACGGATTCAACTCGGCTGGGCAGCATTCAGGAAGCTACGACACCTTCTCGTCAGACATACCTCAAAACCTTAAAACGAAATTGTACAACCAGTGCGTGTTGCCAGTGATGACTTACCGAACTGAGACGTGGTCCTTCACTGCTGGCCGTATGAGAAAGTTCAAGGTCGCTCAGCGGGCTATGGAGAGGGCTATGCTCGGAGTTTCTCTGCGTGATAAACTTAGGAATGAGGATATCCGCAGTAGAACCAGAGTAACCGACATAGCCCAACGGATTAGTAAGCTGAAGTGGCAATGGGCCGGCCATATAGCTCGAAGAACCGACAACCGATGGGGAAGAAAGGTTCTCGAGTGGCGGCCTCGTACCGGTAGGCGAAGTGTAGGGCATCCCCCCACGAGATGGAGTGACTACCTGGTAAGACATGCAGGAAGTCGATGGATGCAGGTGGCTCAGGACCATGCTTTGTGGCATTCTTTGGGGGAGGCCTATGTTCAGCAGTGGACTTGTGAAGGGCTGTAATGATGATGATGATGATGTTCAATTCATGCAAGGGCAAGTAGACTTAATAATGATTACTTATTTTAGGTCTGGAAGTTGTCCATTAGAAAATCCATGTCTGTAAAAGGCCTTCATGAGACTGGAAAAATTTCTTGTTTTTTTTTAACTGAAGTGACAAACAAACATACTGTCTACTTGATGGTAAATGGCTACTCCAGTCCATGAACACATTAAGCCAACTTTAAATAAGGAAAGATACAGATTGTCACCTCTAAGGACTCAGTCGGAATGCCTCAGAGCCTCTAATTAAACTGGCTCTCTAAAACATTTAGATCAGTACACAGCAGTGCAAGCACTGTTAATTGCTGGCAGAACCACCGGACATTTTAAATCAACAAAATTTGAAATCTTACTCCAAAAATGTTTTTATTCAGCGGAAGAATGTTTAGAAGTGTGTTGACGTAAGTTATTACATCATAGTAAAAAAATATCTGTACTACAATATTATTGTCTTATTGTTAAAAGCGATTTCTTCCAGAAACCATTTGATAGACAAATTTGCAAGATGCATATTATTATATATGTGATAGAGCCAAGCTGTAGCAATGTTATGATTATAACATAAATGAGTAGGCCCAACCAAGTATCATGCTCTCACAGTATACCAGCGTAAAATAGCAATTTAATGCTGTTTTATATGATGAGTGTACAGAACCACAGACTTATCACTGGAAATGAGACATTCCATCTTAGTCCTCGGGGGTGACAACAGGCATCTGCTTGCCTTCAGGTGAATGGTGTGCTCGTTTGTCACCCGTATTCACCAATAAATATATTGCATTAAATAGAGTTTTCCACTGTAACACATTTATTTAATTAAATTTAATTATTAATTCATTATTCTCTTGTTATAATATATGTACTTAAATAGTTATTTAAAGAATATGTTTACTATTTAACTTGTCTTGTATCATCATCGTCATCATCATTAAAGTCCTTCACAATCACTGCTGAAGTATGTGAGTTTCCACTGCCGAACATAGGCCTCCCACAAAGAATGCCACAAACCATAGTCTCGAGCTACCTGCATCCATCGACTTCCTGCATGTTTTACCAGATCGTCACTCAATCATTCTTCAAGCTATATGGCTGGGCCATTGCCACTTCAGCTTACTTATCCATTGAGCCATGTCAGTTACTCCAGTTCTATAATGTTATTGTCTTGTATAATGCCTTTAAATTTGCAATACTTGGAAACGCCATTAAGTTATAAGTTCATGATATATTGTAGACTATTCCTAATTTAAACAGCTAACTGTTGGATATAGCCCTCATATTTTTTAAATATCAATGAAGTTAGATTGTTTTGTAAGAGGCATGTGCCAACAGCTTCAACAATGTCAACCTTAACTGCGTGTACTTGCCTACTGATTGACAAAATAGTGTTGGCCAAAAATGCCAAACTGTATTGCTGGACTGGTGATAGGAAGCAACATCCAACACAAATCATGGTTTTGCGATCACCAACCGGCGCATTGGGTATGGACAAAACTTTTAGAAAATGCATGCCTTTGCCTTGTGAACCTGAGGGGGTACCAGAGTAAAGAGCGGCAAGCTACTCGGACAAAGATTAGCCGAAAAATGGGTAAAGATATAAAATTGTGAAAGAAGTAATAATAGGTGGCAAGCCCATCGCCTTCACAATCACAAACCTAATATCCAATTAGTCGTCTTTTACGACACCCCTAGCAAGGAACACAGTTGGTACATTCTTTTTTGTTAAACATATGTTAAGCCAGTGGAGCTGGATATCATTGGATTACGTGTGAACATAATGAAACCATATTAATACTATACTGACTGACCACTTGCTCGGCGATGAAGGAAAACATCGTGAGGAAACCTGCATGTCTCAGAAATCAAAGATTTCAGGTACATGTAAAGACTGTAGTCGGAAAAAAAAATACAATTTATGCTTTTGTAATACACAAATATTGAGCCCTATTAAAAATCTCACAAAACACTAGTGTAAAGTAGCAGCTTAATTCTGCTGTGTTTTGTATGGTGAGTGTAGAGTACCGGAGACCCTTTTTTACTGAAAACGAGGCATTACATCTTAGATCTTAGGGGTACGATACGACGCGTAAACATTTTGATTTTTAATCGAGGATGTCTTTGGGCCACAGTACCTACTTACCATTGGGTGGATTATGTGCTTGTTTTTCACCCTTATTCTATAAAAACAAATGGTTTTTGAACCTACTAACTTCGAAGTAGTACCTAACATTGACCATCTGGTCTATGCTTAGACTGTGTTATTGTTTCTACGCCGTCAGCATTTTTGACCTATCGCAACTTAGACGTAGTATAATATTACACCTTGTATTTGGCTTCTTACAGAGATACAACAAAGTTGTTATTGTACAGTTTCTAGGAACACCCACATATGATATATTCGATCTGATTTCATTACTAATTTACCTACCTGTTACATAAGGTTTATTAATAATTTAAAGTTAAAATTTTTGTACAGCCGACTCCAATATAAGTTATTAAGAATACCTCAAAAACTATTGGTCTGACCTTGATCAAATTCATATGGGACCACACGAGAAGTACCAGCTTTCAAATAAAAAAAGAATCATCGAAATCGGTTCACCCAGTAAAAAGTTATGAGGTAACACATAAAAAAAACATACAGTCGAATTGAGTATAGTCTCCTTTTTGGAAGTCGGCAGAAAAGGAACTCTTAATTTTAAAATTAAATTGATATGAGAGTGAAAAACTAAATTTTTATTAATTTTAATTTCAACCTTTAAATTAAATAAAAGTTAAATTGCAAGTTATTTTCAAAATTCTTACTTCATCATAGATTTTTTTTATTCTATGATGAAATACGAATAAAAAGGTCCCATGGCTTTTTACGATAAAATTAATATTTTCAGAGTTATGAACTTTTTAATGTTTGAAAATACCCAAATTCAGATACGTTTGACTCATTAAAAATATATAAAGAAAAAGAATAAAATATAAAAGATACATGTTTTACATTCTTTGATGAAATACGAATAGAAAAGATCCTATGACTTTTTACGATTAAGTTAATATTTTCGGAGTTATGAATTTTAAAAGGTTTGAAAAATCCCGAATTCGGATACTCATTAAAATATGTTATAAAATATAATAGGCAATGAAATATAATAAAAGAAAAAGATATATTTTTTTATATTGTCCCGTTTGAAAATAACAAATCGTTGCAATTTAAAAAAAATCTGTTTAAACAATATGGCACCGAGTTGCCCCGTGGCAACAGGCATTTATATCATTAGTAGAGCAATTTGAAGAGAATCGCATAAAAAAATTGAGGTGTTTTTTTTTTCGGTATTCATGCGCCGATTACTCCTGGACGTAAATATAACTCATCGTTTGACACCTCGTCATTTGTTTGACTTGTCAAAATTGATATTTTTTTCAATTAGCATCTTAATGTTATTGAATGAACGATACTATTTTTTACGTTTTGTATTTTCTCTTTCTGGAGGTCTCGGCTCGGGATTCAGTGGCCTCCTTGAATTTTATATCTACTCAAGTAACAAATATTAGTCTCCATCGCCTTGCTACGTTTTTTATAGTAGTAGGTTATCAAAAAAGCACACAGTCCACCTGATGGTAAGTGGTTACTGTGACCCATAGACATCTACATCCATCCTCTATAAAGAATCAAAATGCAGATGCGTCGTCACCCGTAAGGGCTAAGATGGAATGCCTCTTTTCCAGTAAAAAGGGTCTCCGTATCTCTACACTCACCATTCGAAACTCAGCAGCACTGACCTGCTATTTTACGCTGGTATTCTGTGAGAGCGTGATCCTCCCACGGTTGAGCCGACCCATTCGTGCTACAACCATAATATAGCTGCAGTATGGCTCTACCACGTATAACAGTTAGGATGAAATCAGATATACTTCAACTGGAATTTGTTATAAAAATTATTATTACGACAATGAACTTTCTGAATTTGTTTCAAGTGACCACTGACCGTTGGTTTATATTTCTACTGTAACGTGGAATGTTTTAAAACAATATTTTTTCATTACAGGTTTTACAGGCGCAGATATTGCAAACGTGTGCAATGAAGCGGCACTTATTGCTGCCAGAGAATTAGCTAACGACATAACAATGAAGAACTTTGAGCAAGCCATTGAAAGGGTAGTTGCTGGTATGGAGAAGAAATCGAATGTCTTACAGCCTGACGAGCGAAAGATCGTCGCTTACCATGAAGCTGGTCACGCTGTAGCAGGCTGGTTCTTGCAACATGCGGACCCATTGCTTAAGGTGTCCATCATACCCAGAGGAAAAGGCCTTGGATACGCACAGTATTTACCCAAAGAACAATATTTGTACAGCAAAGAACAACTATTTGATAGAATGTGCATGACTCTCGGTGGCAGAGTCAGCGAGGAAATATTCTTCGGTAGGATAACCACAGGCGCTCAAGATGACTTAAAAAAGATAACGCAGAGTGCGTACGCTCAAATTGTTCACTACGGAATGAATGCAAAAGTCGGTAATGTCTCATTTGAAATGCCTCAGCCCGGTGAAATGGTTATAGACAAACCTTACTCAGAGAAGACAGCAGAACTAATAGACAGTGAAGTAAGGGAGCTTATAAATTCGGCGCACAAACACACAACCGAACTGTTAACGAAACACAAGGACAACATTGCTAAAGTAGCGGAGAGGTTACTAAAGCAAGAGATCTTAAGTAGAGATGACATGATAGAACTGTTAGGACCGAGGCCCTTCCCAGAAAAGAGTACTTATGAGGAATTTGTTGAAGGTACTGGATCGTTAGACGAAGACACAACTCTTCCCGAAGGTCTTAAAGATTGGAACAAAGAAAAACAAACGACTCCCGCATCGGACAGCACAACACCCAACACCAGTAAAAACTAAGCTTGTGTATTATGTAGATTGTTTTTAGTCAGTTTTATGTGAAATAAACGTAACGTTTAAGACATAAAAGACTTTTGTTTAAGTTTTTGTTTGATTACATACGAAATTATAAAATGCAATTTTTCAAGCAATCACAATGATAGAAACGCGGCTATGCTATATGTGCATTTTTAGAAACTGTATTTATATAATATTTTTAATACAGATAATTTATGATGTAATAGACTAATTTTGTTAAATAAATAAATTCTGATCTTATAGTTATCTTTTAGTGACTTTAATAAAGCATACTCGTAATTTCATGAACCGATTTCAAAAAAAAAGAGGAGCTTATAAATTCGACTACTATGTTTTTTTATATGTATGTTACGCGATACCTTTGTCAATTCTGAACCGATTTTGACGATTCTTTTGAATTAAATAGGGGTACTTCAAGGGTAGTCCTATATATATTTGAAAAAAAATCGACCCCCTGAGGGTGGCAAAATAGGGAATGAAGTTTTTAATCTGAGAGCACGGCAGTGCCCCCGCCAAGTCTAGCAAAAAAAGCGGCAGTTCAGGCCATTTTCGACTCCCCTATAACTTCCTTGTGGATAAAACTTGAAGCCTGAATTTCCAGTAATTTTCGGTATCTTTCAAATTTCATTCAATTTGAACCAGTAGTTTAAGAATTATAACTAGTCAAATTTTCTGGGGGTACGGCAGTGCCCCCGCCAAGTCGAGCAAAAAAGCGGCACGGCCGTACCATCATTTCTCGAAGCAGTTCAGGTCATTTTCGAAACCCTATAACTTCGTTACAGATAAAATTCGAAGCCTGAATTTTCACTAATCAAGTAGGCATTGTATAAACTCTGTATATTTCATTAACTTTGAACCAGTAGTTTAAGAATTATAACTAGTCAAAGTTTCTTAATTTTGTCACTCACTGACTGACCGATCATCAAAACTCTAAGGCACTTCTAGCAGACATAGAAGCTTCAAATTTGGAATACAATTATTGTTTAGTATATAAATCAAAGAAAAATTAAAATATTTTTCAATTTCGGTCCAGTTTTCGAGATACAACAACTGCAAAATAACTTTGTATATAAATATATGGGATTACAAAGTTACATTTGCAGTGAATGAATCAGTGTACCTATATTTTATGTATAATATATAATCGAATAATAGGTGTAGATAGGTACCTTGATATAACTACCTACAAAAAGAAAGGAGATGCCATCAAAAACATAACTTGTAAAAAAGCCAAGTCTCGCAACTCAGTTGTTCTACCGTAAAAAGTTGTGAGATCCATGTAATAAATACCAAGTCGGTTAATTTATTCAGTCCCTACTTAAGGGTCCTTCTGTCTTAAGTTATTACGTAATTAGCTAACCTAACAAAATCTTATAGTGACCATATCAATATCAATTTTTTTTATGTTTTAAATAAATAAATTGACTTGGCAATCGCACTAAACAATCTAATTACTAGTATTACTTGACAGATACATTGTGTTTTTATGCGACCATCTGACTCATAGATGGGCGGAAGCAATGGAGTCCAAGGGGGAGGCGTTGGCCGTTAGTTTGGACATAGCGAAGGCTTTCGATCGGGTTTGGCACAAAGCGCTTCTTTCGAAGCTGCCTTCCTATGGGCTTCCCGAGAAATTGTGCAATTGGATCACCAATTTTCTTGCAGATCGGAGCATCAAGGTCGTAGTAGACGGTGCATGCTCCGATTACAACCCCATTAACGCTGGTGTTCCACAAGACTGCGTGCTATAACCAACGCTGTTTCTTCTGCATATCAATGATATGTTGCAAACCAGTAATATTCATTGCTATGCAGACGACAGCACTGGTGATGCTTCATTCAATACCCTCTAATCTCCTTAAAAGGCATATTAATGTAGTTGTCCCACCCCTAACATATATCTGCAATCTGGCTCTCACAACCGGAAAATTTCCTAAAGCTTTTAAAAAATCGATCATACACCCGATTTATAAGGGTGGGGACAGAGACCATGTCAATAATTATAGACCTATAGCTGTGCTGCCTGCCTTGTCCAAAATACTCGAACGCATAATAAACAACAGGCTCGTAAACTACTTGGAAAAACATAACTTTCTTTCGCCCTCACAATGTGGTTTTAGGTCAGGTAAATCTACCTCGGATGCGATTCATGATCTTACTAATTATATTGTTACAAACTTGGACAATGGGCAGAAGGTTCTTGGCATATTTCTAGATCTCGCCAAAGCTTTCGACACGGTTTCTGTACCCATACTTTTACGTAAGATGGAGAGTTTGGGAATTAGAGGTATACAACTGCAACTTTTTGAAGACTACTTGAGTGGACGTACTCAGTGCGTTCAGGTGGATAAATTCATCAGTACTGAACGCACAATTACCTATGGTACGCCTCAGGGCAGTGTACTCTCTCCAACCTTATTTCTAATATATATTAATGAAATGAGTATGCTCACTCTTCCTAAAGGGCGGATAATAAGTTATGCAGATGATACCGTCCTCCTATTTAACGCAGGTTCATGGCAAGATGTCTATACGTACGCCCAGCTGGGCTACAACACAGTCTATAACTGGCTCCGAAGTAATGTGCTGACACTCAACATAGATAAAACATGTTATGTTGCATTTAGATTAAAAAATAACACATTAACAACATTATCACCACCATACTCTATCGTAAGTCACTCATGTTCCAACTCACTCAATAACGCGGATACCTGCATCAAACTATGTCAAGCTGAAAAAGTAAAATATCTAGGAGTAATAATTGATAGCACTCTACGTTTTCATGAACACATTAATACCCTTAATAGCAGGTTGCGTAAACTTATATATGTTTTTAAAACTCTGAGAGATGTGGCTGACGAGAAACTAAAGAAATCCGTCTACTTCGCCTTGGCCCAATCTCTGTTAACATATGGTATTACCTCCTGGGGCGGTGCTCCAAAAACTAAAATGCTTCAATTGGAGAGAACGCAGAGAGCCATCTTAAAGGTCTCTTTTTCACTGCCGTATCGCTATCCTACAGAGCTCCTATATAAAGAGTTGAAAATTTTAACTGTGCGGCAACTGTTTATACAAAGTACCTTACTAAAACAACATGCTTTATTAAAATACAACCCCTCACTCTCCCGAGATAAAAGGCGTTTTAATCCCGTGGACCGCTATCATATAACTCTATCCACCAAATTATCTAAACGTTTCTTTTGTCACCTTGGAGGTTTCTTATACAATAAAATCAATAAAATTATCCCTATATTTAACCTTAACAAAACTATATATGTAAAAAGAAAATAACTATCTGGCTCCAAGAACTAAATTATTATGACACTGAACAACTACTTACTAATTCTATCTAATTACTAATCTAATAAAAGTTAATTACTAACCCAGTCACAAACTAACAAACAAAAGCATGCACACATACATACACACACACACACACACACACACACACACACACATACACACACACACACACACACACTAATACTAGTTAATATATGTAGAATCCTAAGTAAATGAAAGGAGATATTATGTAAATTATAAATATGGTACATGTACGAGTGCATAATAAAAGTATTGTAATTAGAACCATAGGGCGGAGACCTGGCGTCCTGAAATACAGGCGTAAAGCCTAGCTTAGGCACCAGTCTCCCACAGTATATTATTGAGGCTATACTATAATATTATGTACAATAATTCTGTATTGTGGTGAGAAAATAAATAAATTATTATTATTATTATTATACACCGGCCGTGCCAATATTTCTCGGGAAAACGTCGCCGAGTACCGGAACAAACTTGTGTCTGAAGTCGAGTCTTTGCTGAACAAAGTCTTGGATTGGGGGCGACTAAATCTAGTCCAGTTTAATCCTCAGAAGACACACAAAGCGAAAAAGAACCCCTTTGTCGTATCTCCTCAGTTTCAAGGCACTCCTCTTCTTGCTCAGCCAGTATCGGAATCCTCGGAGTCGACATATCGAGTGACGTGCAGTTTCGCGTTCACTTGGTAGAGAAGGCCAAATTCGCCTCTAAAAAGCTTGGCGTGCTCAGCAGAGCGGGACAGTATTTCATGCGGGCACACCGCTTGCAACTTTACAAGCCGCAAGTTCGGCCTCACATGGAATACTGTTCCCATCTCTGGGCATGGGCTCCCCAGCCCCAGTGCCAGCTCCTTCCACTTGACCGCATCCAGCGCAGAGCGGTTCGACTCGTCGACGACCAAGTTCTTTCCGATCAGCTTGACTCACTGGCACTGCGTAGAGATGTTGCATCTCTTTGCGTATTTTATCGCTTCTACCACGGGGAGTGCTCTGAGGAATTGTTCGGACTAATTCCAGCCGCTCAATTTCACCATCGCACATCGCGATAAAACTCGCGATACCACATCCATTTCATCTGCATGATTGGCGGTCCACCACTGTGCGATTCAGAAGAAGTTTTCTCCCTCGCACAACTTCCTTGTGGAATCGATTACCACTAGCGATTTTTCCGGACCGATACGACTTAGGGACCTTCAAGAAAAGAGCCTACTCCTTTTTAAAAGGCCGGCAACGCATCTGCGATTCCCCTGGTGTTGCAGTTGTTCATAGACGGCGGTAGTCACTTACCATCAGGTGAGCCGCATGCTCGTTTGCCCCCTCTCCTAAAAAAAAACCACAGGTGTACTCTTTATTCCCTCTCGAGTATTTTTTGGCAGAAAAACCCATGTGATATAGGAAATATGTCAATGAAAAGAGGCGTGTTGATGTTTCTATAACTTTAATTATACTGATGCTTATTTTACCTTAACACTAATATATATTGTCGTGGGGGCTATACTACACCTCCTACCGACAAAAAAATAAAAAAGTAATAAATATAAAACGTAAGTCTAATATGAATATAAATTACAATAGTAAATATAGATATATCCTATGGGTATTTAGGGTGGCCAGATCCCTCAGCCCCATAGTAATTTCAAGGTCACAATAGAATTGGTA